TCCAGTCTTCATTACTCTATTGAAGCAGCACAACAATTGTTGCACAGAGACAGAGAAAGGGGAGATGGAGAAAACATTAAGTGAGGGCTTTTATATTTCAACAAAAAAAATGTGTTTTGCTGCTAAGAAGTTTGGAGGTAGACCTCATTAAAGAGAAGGAGTTATTTCCTTTATTTTTTATTTTGGCTTGAAAATTCAGAAAACATCATTTAGGTGTTTTTTAATTTTTTTGTCCCAATTTCTACTTTGTTTGAAAAAATTGTTTTTGAAAATTGCTAACCAAACATCATCTCAAGAGTTTTTATTGATTTAAGAACAAAAAAACTTATTTTCGAAACACAACGCAAACAACCCCTAATGTTTACGCTTTGTTTCTGATCACTTTCTTTTTCTTTCTCTCGTATGGTGAAAGAAATAAAACTTGCTGAAACTTGTTGAATAGACAGTTCAATAGTGCGCCATTAAAAAAAACACCAAACTTGGGCAATTTAGAGGACTAGGAAGGTTAATCTGTGGACGATGGTGATTGGTGGATGATGGATGGGCGATGGTGGATTTAGCTCAGGGGTGAAAATAAGAAACTTAGGGTAAAAATAATAGCTTGGTTAAGCTCCCGGGCAACTCGGCTCAGGCTCGATTTTAAAAATAAGCCTATTTTTTTGTACATATTGTGCTCGTTTTATAATATAAACGAGCCTAAGTCGAACCAAAATTGAACTAGACCAGAGCCGCCTATCTCGTTCAACAGCCCTAGGTGGAATGTGAAACTCTCATTAGTAGTTTTTCATGATATTAAACTGGAAAAAAGTGAAATTATAGTTATTGAAAATCACTCAAAATATTTTGACATAATTTTTAATAATGTTCCAAAATATATTTAAAAATAAAACTTTTATTTATTTTTATTTTTATTTTATTTTCGAAATATTTTCAAAATATTCTTTTTTTTATAAGTGGCCAAAACATTTACACAAACAAATGATTAATTTGAGTATTGTTCTCAAATGCTCACCGAGTTGGAACTATTTAGGCGGCAAGTTCAAATTGGACGGCGGATCTGGGCTGAGCCAGGGGGACGGAGGGTTGGTTTGTCAACAGGCCAATCCTGGCCCAACTCTAAATGAGCAGCCCGCGCCGCTGTCTGTCCCCCGACTAGCCCAAGTGGATACCTATACGATTTCTGATGGACCGATCTTACGCTACTCATAATTGACTTTTTTTTTTTTTTTTATCTCATTATTTTAACGTTAACAAACTTTTTTTTTTATTTATAAAACATGACATCATAAATCATATACCAAATTTAAATTGGTATTATCTTTACTGATTTAATTAAACAATTCGATTGGCCAGTGATAGTAGTTAGTATCGTACGTTTTCGGCCGATAAATTAGTTGGGCCATGGGTCAACCCAATGGCCAAAATTTTGTAGGCCATGTAAGACCCGCTTGAGTGTACTAGACATTGCAATTCAGGCCCACAATTTCTTGGAGCTTAGGGAGGCCGATATCTTCCAAAAAATTAATAGGATAAAAGTATATTTTTTTAAATTAATTAGGATAAAAGTACATGTGTTAAAAAAAAGTCATACCCTTTTATCCCTGCTATAAATAGTGCATACTTAATTGAATGTGAGACTTTCAAGATTTCTTTTGATATTTGTGCACTATTTGAATTTTGAAATTTCATATATATATATATATATATACACACACACATACACACGAAATACAGTGACACGCTCAATAAAAAAATAGTAACATCAAACAGTGACACGTTCAACAAAAAAAGAATAACATCGAACAATAACACACTCAACAAAAAAATAGTAACATCAAACAGTAACACATATTTTTGTTGAGCGTGTCACTGTTTAATGTTACTCTTTTTTGTTATGCATGTCACTGTTTGATGTCACGGTATTACGTGTATGTGTATATATATATATACACACATATGTGTGTGTGTGTATATATATATATATATATATATATATATATGAAATTTCAAAATTCAAATGATACACAAATATTAAAAAAAATCTTGAAAGTCTCACATTCAATTAGGTATGTACTATTTATGGTAGGGGTAACTATGAAATACATTTTAGAAAGAATTTGAAAATGTTTAAAATGTGATTTATTGACAACTATTTGATAAAAGAGAGGACTTAAAAAAGTATAAGTTTGAAGGTGGTATGTAAAACCAAATAAATTTTGAAAAAGGTACTCACATTCCATTATCTCTACAATTTTCTTGCTGGACTGTCGGGTTTACCCGATGCTTGCCCGAGAAGTGGATCAGATTAATCCATAGGGTGATACATTGTCAGGCTAATGAATACTTGGCTCACAAGCCAATTTAATAGCCCAATATTTTACTGGGTCAGACATTTTGTCATGGGGGCCCAAAATTTTCTTTTTGGGTTGACCCAAAAAAAACAATACAATTGGATCAAATTAATCCACAGCTTGATGGACCCTTGGGCTATAGAATTGTGTCACGGACCTTATTCGGATGAACTGAGTCAATAGGCTGAATCAAACGAGTTTTGCTTATGTATAATAATAAGATAGAACCACATTTAAATATTTAAAGTTTGATCAAAAATAAAACTCTAAAATTGGGAAAGCACAAGAAGAGCTCAAATTTAATCTATTTTTAATTTTATGGCCTATATTTCATCTTCATTATTCTAATTTAATCCAAAAAGCTCACAATATATCTCAGACAAAATTTATTCTGCTCATACCTTTTGCATAATGCCCAACTTAATTGTCTGACATAATACCCAACGTCTTTCTTCTTCTCCTTCTTCTTCTCTCTCTTTCTCTCCTTCTTTGCGACCTCTTTACTCCTCACCATCACCGGCCACCCCCATTGTTGACTGGTAAGTTCTCTCTCTCTCTCTCTCTCTCTCTCTCTCTCTCTCTCTCTCTTCTCACCTCCCTCTCTATGCACGCACAGACAGTCACACTTGCTCCTTCTTGGCCTCCCCTTCAAGCCTTATCTCCCTTGTCTCTCTCTTTCTCTCTCTCTGTTACGCTATCTCAAGCGACACCACCATCCCCTGCAACATTGCCACAACCACACCCATCCCAAGTATGCCTATTCTCTGTTTCTCTCTCTAACATGTACACGGCGACAACCCCCAACCCTAAGCTCTCCAATTTCCCCCATCCTCTACTTCTCTCTCTCTTTCACACACATACACAAACACCCTCTGTTTCTCTTTCTCACACACACCCTTTATTTATCAAGGCGGTAGATTACATGATTTCTTTTGTTAAAAGGATATGATTTCAAATTGTTTGTTGTTTTGTCTCAATGAAAATTTTCCATGGTGTTTTTTTAGGGTGTTGTTTTTCAGGGATTTTCACCCACTTCTCTCCTCTCTCCAGCGATCCAGCACCTCGGGAAGCCCTCTGACCCTCTAAGGTTTGTCTACTCTTCTCCCCCTTTCTGTTCTTTGTTTTTCCTCTTCTTCACCACATTTCGCAGAGACACACACTTCACACACACGCACATTGGAACACACCCATCACGCACACAACAGAACACACGCACCTAACACATACGCAAATATAGAACACACACAAACCCAACACATACATGTGCAAAGAACATATAATATGCACACAACAGAACATACAGAGCACACACCCATCTCACCCACACACATAACACAGGCACACATGTACATGAGTGCTTTATCAAGGTAGTAGATTACATGATTTCTTAGGTTCAAAGGGCATGATTTCAAATTATTTATTTTTTTGCCTTAATGAAATTTTTTCATGGTTACTATTGAATTCATAAAGCAAAGCAATAGGGTTGATTTGGGACTTTAGAATTTTAATTTTATTGCATTGTGTGGCACTACCCCCAACGTGTGTTCACTTTGTAATATCGGACAGATGAAATGTCCCAATGAGTGTTGTTTGGATCAATAATTGTTAGCATAATGAGTTTTTGATGAAATGTCTCTATGTGTGAACTGATAATTCTTATGCTAATGTGTGTACAATGAAGAGAAATGTGGACCCTCACCCTTTATACATTTGTTTTCTTCATTTATTCCAAGGACCAATATTTTATACCTAGGTATGCTCTATTTTTAATGGTGTGGTGTGGCACTGTTGGTATTATACAAAATATAGGGTTCACATGTATTCTAGGTAACTATGGGTAGACTATTTATTTGCCTTGAAAATTTTTCCTCTGGTTATTTGATATACATACGTAACTAATGGTATTGAATATAGTTTGAGATCACAAGAAATATATGTTTTATTATTATTTTTCTCTATTATTTAAGAGTAAAATTGTTGCCGACTAATTCTCGATCAATCGATGAGCTAATTGGCGAGCCAATTGTAGGTTGTGATCGGGGGATTATATGCAGAATTCTAATGTTTACATTATGGGGTTTTGTATTAGCTTCTTTGATGTTTGGTAATTGGAAGGAGACTATAGCGTTATTATGTAAAAATTGATTTGGGTGAAAAATTGATCGTTTAACCTAAATATACTAAGAAGCAGTTCAACTCAATTGTTATTTGTGGGTGTTATAATTTTTCCTATATACAAAGAATTAGAGAATTATAACTTTTATTCATTGTTTCGTATTTGCTCTGATGTTTTTTATTTGCTTAGGCTTAAAAAAAAGTCCTTAGTAACTGTCTAACAATATGTATAGGAAGTCAATCTAAGTAGTTTCTGATATGAGTTTTGTTGTCTGGAAAGCTTAGGTTGTTCATTCTTCGAATAAGTGATGATCTTTCAATAACCCGTGTATTTAAACACGGGTTATTGCTAACAAATGCATACCATATACCATATATCCCCCTTGATCCCTTTTTCTCTTTCCTGTTTTTCTTACTTCTCTCTCTCTTTCTCTCTCTCTCTCTCTCTCTCTTTTTCTCAATTGGATGCTTTGTTGTTTTGCCTCAAGGAAAATATGTCTTCTTTTCTTTTTCTTTTTCTCTCATTTGTTTGATATATTGTTGTTCTCTTTATTTGAATTAAAGTCATTTAAATGTTCCAAATTATATTTTCATTTTGGCTTCAGATACAAAAACAAATTTGGCATTTTTGGTCCCAATGAAAACATTTTGATGGAATATTGTTCTAATTTTATTCGGGTTAACATACAAGGGATTGCTATTGGGAGGACAACGGATTTGACACAATTGGATGGGTATATGAGCTTGATAAGAAAATTAGAGGACATGTTGGAACCTGAAGGCGAACTTTGTGGATTAGTATAGAAATGATAAGTTGTCTACATTGAGGATGATATGATGATGATGGGTGTGATCCATGACATATAAGCTATGACTAAGTCTATTTCAATTGCTTTCTTTTATCTTGCTTGCATTTAGCTTAAACTTGCCCAGTAAATGCCAAAACCTTTCAAGTGGACTATTTGAATATTTTCTGTGAGATCCCAAATTTTTAAAAGTAGTTTAAGTATAAAATATAAGGAGTTTTGATGTGAAAGTATAAGGAATATTAAAGTTTTGTGGTTGATATATATAATAAGTGAAATAAAAATTTTGTGGTTAATGATACGTGTCCTCGGCACCGAGGACACCCCCATGTTCTCTGGAGATGATACGTATTCTCAGCACTGGGGGCACTTTCAGCCTCCTAATGATGACACGTGCCCTCAGCACCGAGGACACCCCATGTTATCTGGAAATGACAAGTGTCCTTAGCATCAAAGACACCTCCAAATTCTTGTTCATGCTTCCCCTTGCATGGTTCGGTTCCGAAGATTCTTTCTGACACATCACCTCGGCTTCAAAATGCATTAATGATTATTACAGCCCATCAATGACTGTTGCAGCCCATCAACCTCAGGGTCTGACAATGAGTCATTGGTTTGTCTTCCCCATGAAGTCAGAATGGCAGAGTAAACGAGACCAGCAACCAAGGAGAGTTGGACACGTAGCATATCGTACAAGATTAAGGGGAAATTGACAAAAAATACCCCTATTGACATGCAGTCATCCTAGATAAGCATTTAATAAATCCCCATAGGGATGTGACGTCCAAGGTGACTTGAGAAACCTAGGAGAAAGAGCATTAAATGCTATAGAATTTGAGCATTTAATGACTATGCATTGAAGAAAGAGCAATAAATGCTCGGGGGCCAGGGAGAAAGGTTATTAAGTGCTCGGGAGGCCGAGTATTTAGTACTTGAACTTAGCCCCTGCAAAATGGAGGATGCACTGCCCAATAATTGAGCACCGCTTGCTACCTACTAGTTAGAAATGATGATTTTCGTAGAAGGTATAAATAGCTCTTTAAAATTCAAAGTAAAGGTACGCAAAATGACTTCTCACGAGAGACATTGTGCTTTTTCTATTCCCTCTTTCACAAACTGACTAGACTGTCAGAGATGATACGCTGAAAAATGCTCTGACGCCCTTCTAACCCTTTATTTTGAGTGTTAGGAAGCTTCAACGACATGCGGGATCGATCGGACAGCCCCAAAAGTAATTTATCGCCACTCCTTAGACCCCCTTTTGCCTCTTTTTATCACTGGATCGTCGACTTTCGAGATAAACACGAATTTACCAAGAGAGAGATCTGTTTTTATTTATTTATTGTGCGTAAATCCTCATGCACAATAAATATAAAACTGATGGTTTTGTCGTTGGCAAAAGTAGTTATTTTGCCTACAATACTTAGTTTTAATTTCCAATAATGCTATTTTGTTCTATTTTTTTAATCTATTAATCTAATTTTTTTATTGTTGGTGGATTCACATTGGTTCTCATTAATTAACTATAAAAACTCATCTATAATTAACTACAATAATCAAAATTAAATCAAAAAATTTTGTCCAGTTAAATAATCCACTTTACATCTTGAAAGGATTATTCTTACTAGTAGTAATGATGCTGAACTGTAGTGAAGTAATGTCTAAATTCATTGTGGTGGGATCTCATTTAATAATCTATTTTACGTCTTGAGAGATTCATTTTAGGGTCCAATTATGATATTCAATAATTATTTTTTGACATCATATCTCTATTTTTTATTCAATAAAAAAGATGACATGTGTAAATTTTTTTATTTATTATTATTTTACTTGACCTTCTTATTTATTTGTATAATCCAAGGGCACTAATTAATTCTTGTTATCCAACTTTCTATTCATATTACATATTGAGTGCAGCTATTTTGAGTCAAAGATGGTGCAGTGAACTACCTAAATTTAGTAACTGAAAAGATAAAATGGGAAAGGAAAAGGTCTTCTCTTGCCATGGTTCCCCTTCCCCATATTATTGTCATTATTTGTTAACCCTTTTTCTTTTTTAAAAATTACTATGCAACCCAAATTTAAATCTCAAATGGAATGCCTTTATCATTCTTAAATTCATCAAAAGAAAAAAAAATTAAATTTATATTACCATTTTCATTGGAAAGCTTGATATTTTTGATTTAGTCCTTTTCTTTTATTAGGTCAAACTTTTCACGTAGCTAACATGCAAGGATGACAGTGGACCGAAGAAATATGAGGATTCGCCCAAATTTGCGTCTGTTTGGATGGAGAATAAATCATACTTATTTGACGATGGACATATACGAAAATAGCTGTATAAACCCATGCTGAAATGGATGCAAGAGTGAACCAAAATTTATCCCTGCAACGTCCCGTTAGACTTAATATATATATATATATACATTTTTATTTATTAATGGTGTGTTTGGGTTAAGTATTAGGAAGGATCAAATTAAATAATGTTGTCCATCTCTAACCCATCCATTTGGCCCTTGAATTAATTATAGTGATAATTTTTTCTCATCTCATGTTTGGTTCAAGTATTAAGAAATAGTTGACTCATATTTATCTCATTTAATACTTTGTTTGGATGGAATATTGAATAATGGTACAAACATTAAATTACTAAAAAGCTCTCAAGATAAAGAGTAATATTTATATCCTAGAGATACTTGAGGGTAAACATATCTTTTGACCAAATACATCACAATTGGACTATTTACACCTACAAAAAAGGTGCGTTTATTTAAAAGGGTGTATGTAGTATTAAATACAATATTTATCTGAGCCAGTATTATTTTTAGGTGATAATGCGGGGTCAGAAATGTGTATCCAAATATGGGTATAAGAAGGATAAGGTGGACCCGACATTATCTTTTCCAATCTCTCTTTACTAATACCTAAAACAAACACACTGATAACATGTATCTGAAGGCATGGTGCAATTTAAACTAATTGATTAATTTAGAGAAGTGATGAGTGAAGATCCTAGAGAGAGAAAGAGAGTGAAGAGTGAGGAGAGGAATGTAAAATTTAAGATGAATGATTTTAAGAAGAATGTTAGTAACCGATTTATGAGTTTATTTGAAACTGTAAAATGAGTTTATTGAAGTTTACATTGTTTTATATATATATATATATATATATATATATATATATATATATATATATATATATATATATATATCTTTATTATTGTTATTTTTGCTCAATGTATGCAAGAATTATATTGTTAACTTATTTATTTGTTTTTGGCTTTGATTATATCACAATGTGATATAGACATACAGTGATACAAGTTGCAATTTAATTGTTATGGATATTTTTTTTAATTTTTTTTGTTAAAATCACAAAAATTAATTATAATGGGGGGTGAAGACGGAGGTGAAGGCGGCGGCAGAGATGGGGTATAAAAACTTATCCTGCTAAAGAGGATGGACCCAAAATAGACTAACTTTTTAAAATAGGTATAGGGGTGAAAACTAGTCGCTCTGCCCCTTGTCCAGTGCCCTTCCTACTTACACAATAATAACTCATAATTATAATTGAAACAATTTGACCATTTCCCGATGGTTTGATATTCACACAAAAGTTCCAAACATTTTCAAGGTGGAACAGCATGACCTCTTTAGGTATCCAAAAAAAATGATATCAATAAAAAAATAATAGTTGAAATTTCAACATTACACCTTTATTTTGGATTGGAAAAAGAATATCGAGTTTGGCATGTGCACTTTGAAGGACAACAATGGGGGGAAGGTTATGTGCGAGGGGAGTGTAACTGGTACCCGGTTTTTCAAGAAACATAACCTTGACAACGATGGATAAGGTATTTAAGGTTGAGTAATTTTGGGGAGAAAGGTGTGAGGTGAATGTTGATAATACATACACTTTCATCTTAGATGGTAAATTCTGTTTTTAGTGTTTAGGTTTGTGCGAGAAGGGGTGACTTTGGGGTGTACTTAGGTTGGAAACAAATCAAGTATGAACTGGATTGTCATATTTCTGAATTCGAATTTGATTAAGTTTTTGTTGATCTGATCATCCAACGGATTTGAAAAATTCAATTCATGTTCAATTTTTATTTATTTTTATATATTCGATTCGAAAATTTAACCCAAAATATGGTCTCATACAATTATCACAAAAAGTAAATGTACATCAAAAAATTAATAATAAGAATTTGGATAATAAATTAAAAAAAAAGAAGACAAATAAAAATTTGAAGTGAAAGCAAGAGAAAAAACCAAATAAGAGAGAGAAACAAAATGAAAATGGAAAAAGTGAGTTTTACATTGTGATAATCACTCTATTTTTACTTGTTTTCCAATATAAATATAATACATGTGTAATATTTATTTACATAATATATTTTTTTATTTGAATCAGATTAATAACGAATCGGATTATTATAAATTCATATATTAATTCGTTTAGACAGCTCAAATCAAATTGGATTAATGGATTGAAAAATTGATTCATATCCACTTAAACAAATTCAAATTCGAATCGGTTAAAATCCAATCAATTGATAGGCTAAAGTGTATTGGTGTAGTGAGAGGGGATGGGATAAAATCCTCTCCTTCTCTTTTCTTATTGTAAATTATTTACCTTCAAAATATAGATTAAGTAAAAAAATAATTAACTCAGAATAAAATTAAAATTTTCTGTTTTGGGTTCATCTGTTATTTTTAGAAAGGTTAAGGATGTACATATAATAATTAATAGTATATCAGGTCTATCATTGTAATTTTAATTAAAAAAATTAATATTTTTTAAACTTTATTCTATTTTATTACAACTAACCAGGCATTTATGATAGTTTATTCCATCACCCACCACCAACATCAAAGGAGGTCGCTTTATTTCCGGGCTCTCTCATAGCTTTTGTCGCCAGAAAATCCAATACACCGTCCGATTTTAGAATCTGAATCTATCTCTTCCATCCCAATTCGGATTTCTAGGCGTGTATCTGTCTATCTTCAGGAATCGGATCATCTATTTACTCTTTTGCTCTCAGGTACTTTTGTAATTTTGTTATATCTCCCGATTATTCCATTTTCTCTCATATTTCTCTTTCCTTTTGATTTCGTAGCTTGTTATACTAGTATTTAGAAGTTTTTGATTACTCTCAATTCGAATTATTGAAATGGGTTTTCTTTACTTGACTGACGAACTGATATCTCTAGGTTGATCATTTCTATAAAATGTTTTACCCTGCAATTCAGTCCATGTTTGGACAATCTCATATGGGTTAGCTGAATTCTTTGTTGTTTGTTAACAGAATAATAATAACTGATATGAATTTCGATGCGTATGTAATAGTGTACTATATTGTTGGGGAAAAGAATCTCCCCTCCCCCCTTTTTTTTTTAAGAAAACGAAACAAACAATTTTCGGTTCCCGAAGAAATTTAGAAATTTTGCGATTTGGGTAGTTGTTTTTTCATGTCATATGTCTTCTTTGTCGGATTGCGGGTAACATTTATACATGGGTTTTATTCAGTTCAAGACGGATGAGCTCTGATTACATTAGTGGTGACCACTTTGCAGATTTATACATATTTAGTTTACCTGCAGTTTCATTCTCTCTAACTATAACATCTTTCATTTTTGCAATGCTGTCTTATTTACAGATGAAAATTATTTGATCTATCATCTACTGTCCTTATATTAGAGGGCAGTGTGGTTTGCCTCTCCAAGGGGGAGGGTCCTGATTCGCGGAGCCACTGTAATTTCTGTGAGCTTAAGTTCCTCTCTCATCTTCTAGTGTCATCTTCGTGAACTGTGATAGGAGCTTCTTCAAGTGTCCCCTTACCGCGTTTGAGCTTGGTCGATGAGATTGGAGAAAAACGATGGAGGGTTTTAATTTCTTAAAGTAGATTGAAGTTGGAATCATGGGATCTGTTTGTTGCTGTTTGCATGAGGAATGTGAAGATTATGCTAATCTTAACAGTTCTGTTTATAGGAACTGTATATGTCTTCGTTGCTTTCTTCAGAACATTTTACATTTGGTATGCTGCATAGGTTTGTTTTCCAGTAGTTCAGTATTTTCTGTTTGTTCTTCTAGATTTGTCTTACTGTTCACTTTCATCACAAAGTTTTTACATTACAGCTATCCTGTTTTGGGGTAAACCAAAAATGTTTCTTAGGAGTTCATTTAATAACTGTTTCAAGGTATGCTTTGTCTTACCTGGGAGCTTGTTCATTGCAGCTAATATGAGCTTGTCACCCTAGATTTGCAACTTTGGGCAGAATCTCAATTTGATTGGCATCAGTTTAGCTATATAACCCAATTAGACCTGCATGTTTCCTTGTAGAACCCTACATATGAGCGCTTTTGAAGCATGGATTTGATTATATTCCTAGTTGATTACACGTTTGCACATGAAATACTCTGTTTGTGACAATGTGTTTCTTTGATGAGCAAATTACTTGACAATCGAATATTCAACTGTTGTAATGAGGAACTAGAACCTTAATAATGGGGAAATTGAGCAAAGAACTCTGTTATTAAAATTACAACCTCTTTCCAACTTTTTCTCCTGATGCAGTATACTTCATTGTTTCAAAGAGGGGAACAACCCTCCACCCCTGCATCCATTCAAGGAGCAGCAGCTTTGAGCTCGCCGGCATCACTTGACAACTCCCTATCTGACATGTTCCGCTCTCCTCCTAGGCCCTTGCCATATGATGCTGATCCCAGATATTACCGCTTGCAACGGGATGGATTAGTCTCAAGAAGGGAGAAAGGCTCTAGTCACTCACACGAGGAAACTGAACCACTGAGAATAAGTGCTATTGATGCAGAATCTGAATATGTGAGCAGTGGGAAAAAGTGGAATGAGTCTACTTTTGAAGAAGGTTCTAAAGAATATAATTCCAAGTCTACACTGAAGCTCTCATCGACAAAGACAGCAACTGGATTTGCACATATCTATACTTCAGAAGATGACGATGTCTGCCCAACATGCCTTGAAGGTAAAACACAGCAAAAAGCTCTTTATTCATGTGATAGCAAGGCTTTTATTTTGTGATATTAAAGACACCTACACTTGGTCATGAGTAGCATTGTGGATGTTTGTTGACCAATACCTTTGTTGACTTGTGCTGAGACCAGCTAGTACTTCTAAAACCTGTCTGTTTTTGTGACTTCAAACATCTAGGATATGATGTCTGCAAAGTCTGTGAGACATTAGTTTTTGGATTTTTATACAAGCTGTTCATTATCTTTATTGTGTATAAGGATGGTTTCACAGCTCAATATGCAAGCAAAAGGCTACATAATTTTGGATATTTGCAAATATTTTGATGCTCCTGTTCCTTAGGGTTGATGCTTCGTGTGCTAGATAATAGTTTCCATTTTTGCTCACTGGCTGATAAGAATGCTGAGAGTGATGGACTGCGTACAAAACTAAATTTGGACATTATTTGCACCAAGTCATGGCCTCATATTGAATGTGAAACCTTGTGATTGTTAATCGAGCATTTCACCACTGCTTTAGACGGTGGCCCACAAGTTCTGCTCTCTGGCTGATGTGTCACATAATTTTTTCCCCACATCTTGTACAAGTCATTTTCATTTTTCAATTAAAACAAAGGTTTTTGATGATTCACAAATCACTGGATGAATGAATACTCTTTAAGAGTTTTCCCAGTGTATGTTGCATCATCAGTTTCACATTAAGTGACTAAGCTCTTTATCTTTTCAAATTGTTCTTTATATGGTAACTATTCGAAGCTACACATGCTTAATAGAAATGGGCTGTGGTAAGCTTTAGGATGGATTTTTCATCCTCCCTTGCAGTACTCCCCTTGTCTATATCTTAGTGTATTTATTTGTAAGTTGAAAGAGGAAAAAAAGCGCATTGAAGCTATCACAGTAGATTGCGTATCTTAACGCAACATCATTCCCAACCTCAGTCAGGCACCAAAACTGGGAAGAAAACTGTGCTGATGTCATAGCAGTACTGATGAAGAGAGCTTCTGAGGGAGCATAAACTTCTGAACCAACATGGAAGTCTAATGCAGCCTGCACTTTTTTAATCCTTGTTGCTTTAAATAGAAAAATGCTGCTGTAGATGACACAGCATGGATTAGAACTGCTAAAATTTGATTCTGATATTTTTCATGCTTTATATATGCAGAATACACTTCTGAAAACCCCAAGATAGTTACAAAATGCTCTCATCATTTCCACCTTGGTTGCATCTATGAGTGGATGGAGAGAAGTGAAAGCTGTCCGGTTTGTGGCAAGGTAACATGTAATTATGCCGTGTGAACTTGTCTGCATATATTTTGAGATGATTATAGTCCATTTTTATGCTTGGTTTTGTATTGCAATTTATCTTTTCATTTATATGCTACATGCAAAGCAAGAACATTAAGTGAAAATGATATTTTTCTCTATAGCTTCACTTTTGGATTATTTTCTTCGAATCACAAATTAGTTTAATGCGAAGTTATTTCTGCTCTGAATTTTGTTGGTGTGAGAACTACTTTTATCTAATTTGAATAAGAGTGGATTAAATCTTTCTTTCAACCTCAACTCACTTCAATTTGATCTAGTTTTGTCCCAACAGTTTTACTCATGACATTAATCATGTGATATCATATTAGGCGCTGTTGGACATTGTAATATTAGCTAAAGCACATATTTGTTTTTCCTTGCTATCTTTGGTGATGTTAGTATTTTTCTCCCTTCAATTAGCATTACCTTCAAATCTTCAATGGAGATCATATTTACTATTCCTCAATGGTGCATTTGTTGATCTTTGCAGCATAACTCTAAACCATTGTACCTAGTTTCTCTCTTTCTATATCTAGTTGGTGTTACTTATACTGCTTCACATTTGTTTACTTGAACTTCATCCTTCCTTAAAATTTGCATTTAGGCAACACTTATTTTATGTTCATGGTTCTTAAATGGCTCTGATTCTGTTGTCTGAAATATTGGTTACATATGAACCATCCCGTTTAGCAAGCTGGGAAGTGGATTGGGTGAAGCCCAAACTCCCGAAGCTGACCCGTTTATATGTAAATGTTTTTGGGTGGGCCGTTAAATTCAACAATTTTTTATTTTGTAGTTCAATAGGAGTTTGTGTGTGTTGCTGGATATGTTACAAAAGATATATCACTATACTAGTAAGAGTGAAGTAATACTTGTTAACAGTAATACAGGTAGATGTAGATTTACATTAACTTTGAATGCGATAGTGAAAACCGAGATGGTAACTCATGGTTAGAGGGAACATATGATCCTTCATAGAGTACAATAGCGGCATAAGATTCATGTAACAAACCGTAAATAATCGAGCCAAAGTTTTATTGAGTTGAGTTGAGTTGAGGACTGGTACAGGTACCCTCTCTACAAATATAATTGTCCAAAAGAAGATGAACCAGAAATATGGCGTCTTCAGATGCTGTGCATGCTACTGGTTTGGATTATCATAGAGGTCTGCATGTCTTAAGGCTTCAAGCTTGTTATTTTTGGGAGCAAGTCTCAACAACAGCTATCAATATTTAAACTCCCATACATATAACATAAGTTCTGGAGCCTTGTCTAAAAACTATATTAACGATCTAAAAGGAAGGAGTTTACAGTTTTCACAAAATCCCACCAACTATAGTGAATTTGGCTGCGTGGCAGCACACACTGAGCTTGCATACAACTAATGGATGCACACAGTGAGCTTGCGTACAGTTGCATCATATGCATGGATATCATGGTCACAGAGAACCACATGGCGCAGTGTGATTGTTGTAGCTTAATTTGTTGTGCATGAAATAACTGTCTCGCTATATGATTTCTTGCTTGATTGGACTCGTTTTGTTTGGTTGGCATTTTCAGGAGATGGTATTCAATGAGACGCCTTGATCATATTCACTATGTTCCTGTCGTTGGTGAAACCAGCAACAAACAACAAACAGCAAACAGGAAAGGAAGGAAAAAAAAAAACCTGAAGCAGAGTGTAAAGTCATTGTGAATACGACATATGAAAGTGTGTAATGTACATAGTAAATATTGTTCAGTATAACTTTGTTACAGGTATTTTTTTTTATTCATAATGTCTTGCTTTTCCCATTTACCTAATCTAATGGAAGCTCCTCTGCCTCTGAAGGGGATTTATCCGAGATGTTTGACATTCATCCATACGCAATCTCTGCTTCCATTTTGATACATTGTTGGCCCTTCTAACCATAAGAGTAGTAGGTGTTGGCGTTGGCAAGCTGCCGTTTCTGTTGGGGAAATTAAAAATAAGTTTAAAATTAAAAAATTAAAATTTTAAATTAAAAAAGTATTTTTTCCATTTTAATTAAAAATTCAGATTTATTTTTTAATTAAAAATAGATCAATACGAATACAAATACGAACACGACACGAAAATAAACAGGTTAATTCGCAATTTGATAAAATACAATTAGTTAAAAGAGTTAAATTAGGTTTTACTAATGTCTAACACAAATCTGTAATGACTCAACACGAATCTGACACAACACGACTCAATTATCACCCATAATTTTAGTCAACACCAAAAATAAAATAAAATTTAGTCATTTTTATTTTTCATTTATCCAACCAAACACAAAAGAAGGAAAGTATATCATTCTTACTTTCCTTCCTTGAAGGATATAAAGTGTATCCCTCCTATTTTTCTTTCTCTCTATTTTTCACCTTTTTTACCTAACGGGGCATAAGAGTTGTGTGAATATTGTCTTCTGCTTCATTTGGTATGGTGAAAAAATAGAAAGATGAAAAGTTTGAAAGATAAATAAAACATCATATTTGGTAAAGAAGAAAAATAGGAAGGATAAAAAAGTGGATGAATTAACTTTCATTTCAACTCACCAAAATCAATATCTCCATCGGAAGGAAAGTGGATGTAAAGTTAATTATTTGTGTTAAAATGTATCTTATTTGTCTATATATCTTTTGATATATACATATAATACGTATACATTAATTTCATATATATATATATATATATATATATATATATATTTTAAAATAAAAATAAAAATTTAAAAGAATTCCATCTTAATTAAAAATTTGGATTTATTTTTTAATTAAAAATAGATCAACACGAATACAAACATGAACACGATACAAAAATAAACAGGTCAACTCGCAACTCGACACGATACAATTAGTTAAATAAGTTGAGTTAGGTTTGACTAATGTTCAACACAAACCTGCAATACAAATCTGACACGACACGACACGATCCGATTGTCGTACTTAATCTTAACCAGTAGAAAAAAAAATTTAATTATTTTTATTTTTCATTTATTCAACTAAATACAAAGGAAAGAAAATGTATTCCTCGTATTTTTCATCCTCCCTATTTTATACCTTTCATACGAAACGAAGAATTAAAGTAATCGCATATTCTCGAGTGAAAGTATTGATTGACATCAGCGATTTTAACATCAAACACAGAGTCCGCAACACATGATGTTTAATGGTCACCCCTCTCAGAAGATAGGAATGTATCCAAGGGTGTATATGACTCGAATTAAAATTGTCCAAAAATACAAAATGGTATAAATTCGTTGTTCAGATGTAATGATGCATACGAAAGTTGGTAGAACTGATGCTTGGTTTTTAATTTAGAATAAAAAAGATGGTCAATCATGGTAAAGGACAAACAAGGATGATAATTTTACTGCTAAAATAATACACCAAAAATAATTTTCACCAACCTTTTTGTATAGGCGCCAGTTCATGTGTAACTCTCATGGACATTCACGGGGCGAAGCCACCTTATGCCTAGGGGTACATGCCCGCTCTTAATTGTTTTTTTAAAATTTTTTTTTATTTATTTTAAGTATTTGTTCAATATATTAAATTATACTCACCCTATTTTTTAATCAAGAACGAAAAAAGTATGATATATCCATGAGTTTATTTATAATTTTAACATTTATTTTATTAATTATTACTGATATGATAGAAAATATATTTTATTATGTAATCGAATTAATGATAAATAGCTAAATGATAATACGATTGTGGATATAAATAATAATAAATTTAACACAAAAATTTTAACATATAAAAATTTATCGAAATCAATTCTAAATAGTTTTGATTAGGCTTTGTTTGGAAAAATGATATAATTAGTTTTTTTTTTTGTCATTTGTAATCTAGTATGTTTAGCAATTTTAGTCTTTTAACTTTATTGAACTTTTAAGAAATTAAATAGGATATTATTAAATATAAATATATTATTCTATTTTTATCAATTACAAGATCAAAATTACGCTTGTTAAAATATTCGGTGCCCACAGACAATTTTTTGGCTCCGCCCCCAAGACATTTGTTAGCATCTTTAAAGCTTTTAATCGTCTCTCTTGAATGGCATATAAACATAAATTAAAGATTTTTGTAACAGCCCAACCAATGAATTATCGTCAAACAAAATATATATAATTAAATTAGAAAAAATTTTACAAAATTATTTTATTCCAACATAAAGCATATCATATTCATCTTGCACTAAATCGACAATATCAAGCAAAGACGGGTAGTATAGCAAATCATCCGACTCTCGGCGAACCTGATTCCAACACAATAAATATCATTCATGCTTTAAATTTGGTATTAAATGACCATCGAACTAATTTAGTCTAATTGTATTTCTTAATACCCAAACAAAACCCATGCCAAGGATTTTACTCAGAAAGAAATAAACACAAGCTTATTCAACCCAATAATTACGAAGGCCACTCGAGAAAGGACATGGGAAGGTGTAGTTTTAGTAACTCATTCTATCAATATCCGTAAAAGACATTGGAAGGTGAAAGTAAATTACTACCACACGTTGACAGGATGACTCCTCATTAGGGTAATAATTTTCAATACGATAAACCAATATGACACAAACTTAAAACAAAATTAATACATTAGGATTCACAAGAACTCGACATTTCATTCATAGCGACGCATAACTTCATTCATGACAAACTTTGAGCGACGGACTTCACATTCTTTCTCAATACAGAAAGATAGATATATATAAGCTTGCAGATACACACAACAGCAAGTTTTATGTATATATAACATTTGTTAGCGCATCAAATGTGCCGAATTCTAGTACAAACCAGTGACTTATGAAGAAAGGAGCAGCGTTGAACCACCTTCCACAGCTCACTTTTAACACAGAACTCTAGCTGGAGATGTTTTTCATCTTCATTTGTTAGCATGGCGAAGCAGCCAAGATGGCATGGGTGGGTTGGAACCAGGGCGAGCTCGACCTCCATTCTCTCCGGTTATGGCTTCTTGACCCTGGAAAGTGCCACTGAAAAGTTCAACAGCAAAGATATATAAGCTCAATTAACCAAGTTATGGCCGTGTAGGCAAAAGAAATCCACCACTATCAACACAAAGAGTAATCTAAAGATGGTCATGTTTACTGAGGCCACAATGGACTGCAAACATTGAGATTTCATGGTCAGCCCTCGATGTCATTCTGTATTTAAGGTTGAATCATATCGGAAACAACCATCTAGTAACGGAAATCTTGTACACTGGACTAACATTTTTCTAACAGCACAAAACAGGCTGGTGTCGTTTGGTGCATATATTCACCAAGTGAAACAATAAAAATTAAAGGGTTAGTTCAGGGCAACTCTAAGGATCCAGGCATGTTTGGGTATAACTACAAGATGCCCACTGGGCAAACTTGGCTTTATTTATTTTCCCTTCTCAGCCTGCACGCCTGCTTGAACTCATGTAGCCACTCCAATGAAAACAAGGTTATCAAAAAATATAATTTTTAGACAGATAATGCTAGACTGATTTTTAAAAAAAAAAAAGGGACAACAATGGGGATTTAAGTGAGGTGGCGCCAATATAGTAGTGCTTTTGATCCCAAAAAATTAAATTATGCTCACCATATCAACGCCACGTCATTTGATCCATTTTTGATCCCATTTTTTAGTCAATTTACCATCAGGTTTCTTAAAAACATTCAACTTCGTTTTAATTCATCCAATGACATCTGTTCATTTGTCAAGTGGGTGCTTGCTGCATGTGAATCTTTGTGTGTGTGTGTGTGTGTGTGAGAGAGAGAGAGAGAGGGAGAAAATACCCAATTGATAAAGAAGGAAGCAGTAGTTGTGGTGGTTCAGGTTGAGGTAACACAAAGGTGGTTGAGTTTTGGCCTAAACTTTGTTGCTCCCATTGTGCCCGATCAGCCATGTTCTTCTCATTCTCCTTGAGCTGTTTACATTTGAAAAAAATGTGAACAGCATTTCATCCATCTTATTTTCCTAATGGCATAGTATATGGTTTCGACCTTTAATTCATTGTGAAACAGTAATGAAAATAACACACGATATCTTAAATTTTTCCCCCTTTTTTTTCCCTCTCTTTTTTCCAAAACATAGCTTCACCTTCTTTGTCAGTTGATTGTTTTGCTGTTGCAGTACCTTCTCCTGCCACAAAACACAGCATGAGTTCACATGCATTAAAACCTCATATAGGATATCCTTCTCCCCCATTTAATATAATTTCCAGGTGTAATTACCCCCCCTAGATCTAAATTCTCATGCACAGGGTCTTGTGAAATAATTACCGAGTACTTGGGCTGTATATTTCTTAAAATTCACAAACTTAAGGAACAACAGAATTTAAACAGAAAGTCTATTTTATACCTCAAAGTTTTATACAAAAAAACTCGTTTCATCTAATGCAAGTTGTTTAAGATATCATCTAGTGCAAGTTGTTTAAGATATCATCTAGTGCAAGTCCATGTGTGCATATCTGGGCAAAAACAACAACAACATTACCTTTTTTTAATTTATCACAAAAAAAAAAAGGAACATCACCTTTTTCTGAAGCTCAGAAATCGATTCGTGCATAAGTTGATCCTGCAAATTAGGTGGTAAATACAATGAATATGAACTAAGAAATGTCTCTTATCTGTAAAAAGATAGTAGGAGAAGTTGAAAGAAAACAATGTTTTACATTTACCTTCCTTGTCCGGATTCGCTTGATAGCAGTGTCAAGTTGTTGCTCCAAACTTTGAAGCTCCCTCATGCTCAAGGGATTCAGATCTTCTCCTATATAGTGCCTTAAAAAGGTTGTATAAAATGCATCAGAATTATATACAATGAATGATGTATTCTAGGTTTCGAAATCGTTTTATCGACTTTCTGAACATTATCAAAATATGTATTTTGTTGCAAGCAAGTTTTACGAAAGAAAATATGCAGTTTTGCTCCATATGCAGGCTCATGATCATCATCATACGGTAGGTCTTGAAAGCTTTGATTAAGCATGGCATGTGCCATGGATGTGGCTGAACGAATTCGTTGCCAAAAGAGGAAATATACATCTGATCATTTCTTAAGCAAGGCATAAAGTAAGATTATTACCTTATGCTTCTGTTTAAGATTTCAACTTTAGCCACGAGCTTAGGATACTCGACGAACCAGCTTTCCTATAGAAAATGTATAAAGCAAATGAGAATATAAATAAAGAGAATATACAAATATTAGACAAGGGGAACAAGAGGCACTGCTTGATTTACGTCTCAAAAAACTGTATATGAAAATTGCAAACCAAACAAGGTGAGAGTTTGTTTCAGTATTTGGCTTATGGAACATTAATATATTCATAGATTTACAATATTAAATATGTATTTGACCTCCTATTACAGATTGGTTATAATTTTATTGATTACTTCTTAAGAAGAAATGAGACTTAAAGCTTTTTTTCTTTCAGGTACATGTTGGGGTCTGACTCTTTTAGGACTAAATCTGGGGGTTGTGAGTTGAAGAAATCTTGAGCACTTAGAGAATTTCTACTGGAGCTTCATCAAGCCGCCTCAAATTATCAGCTTGGTTATGACCAAAGTTAGCCGGCACATCTGGACTTCCATTACACTCCCTGCAAGTGTGTTGTATCTATGATACGTCAAAGGGCAGCCCAGTGTTAGAGGATCCCGTCTGTATGGCTTAGAAATTTGGCTTTCCACCTAGTAAGTCTCTGGTTGATTTTATCTACGATATGTATGTGTTCTGTTTGTTGAGGTCACAATGAATAATGAGATACCTACCAAGATCATTGGCCTCCATCCTTGCACATTGAATTTCTGAATGTGTGAACAAGCTCCTAAACAAAACATATATTATGTGGTATGTATCTATTTGGGACAAAACTCTTCAGTAAATGACTAACTAGATGAGTGACTTAAGGTTTAATTTTGTTTAGTAGAACCTTTGACATTGGTTCACACACAAATTCTTGATAACTGACTGTTGAACCGTTAACCCTAAACCTAGAACACATCACTCACCATTTTGAATTTTTTGGCTTTGGATTTATAAAACAGCTAGCTACATAAAAAAAAATATCTATAAATGACCAGTAAGGACTACAAAAACTATTACTGTTCTGATTGTGAGTAACTTACAAAATTACTATGGAGAAGACACGAATTCAATCACTGGAAAGAGGACAAGGATAGAAAAAATTCTACAGAAGAACATTCATGTTGTTTATAGTATGATTTAATAGATTGGTCAAGTAAAATACCTGTGGTTCAGAATCAGTTGTACAAAGTTGCTTCTCTGCATAAGAGTATCTCTCATACCTATCCAGAATCATATCCATGCTGGAAGAAAGAGAAAAGTTCAGAGGGTGAATGGCAATTAGTACTTGTAACTATTTTAAGAGTTGGCAGTACCCGTAAAATGCATTAAAACCAGAAAGAAGGAAAATATTCATAAAGATGTAATTTTACTAACATTTATAAACCTAGGGACCAACAAAGTAAAAGAATAAACTTCTTCACGGACAAACACACAAGAAAACATGCATGCAACCATACACAAGCATTAAAAACAACTACTCCTACCAGGTAGAGAGAAGGAAAAATTCACAAATAGGTCATTTTGTTGGCCTTTAGAAAATGTAGTGACTATAAGAAAGGAGCCACTTTGAACTCCCCTTAACAGTAAGAGAGAAGGAAACATTCTCAAAATACGTAATTCTATCAGCCTTAACAAATGTGGTGACCATAAGAAATATGCCGTACTTCTTTGTTTTGATAGAATTTTTTTCAAAAAATAAAATAAAATCTCATTTCATAAGTCGTACTTTTTTGTTCTTCTTATCCGGATTTACTCTTTTGGTCCAAGCTTAATTGCATATATAGTAGCATACATATAGTATGTCAATGACCATGGTATGAAGATATAACTGATGATTCAAATTGTGCTGAGCCTAATGCTCACTTCATATGAAGAATTATGCTTCTTCAACATGTCAAAATCAACTATCTATATACGATTCAATGCTAGAACATACATTCAACTCATGACAAACTTTAAAACCATTCGATAATGATGACATTGTAATTAAAGCCAACGCTGCACTGGACAAGATGAATTGGTATTAACACACAATATATTTATCTTAGCTCAATGAGGATTTTTGGAAACCATTAATAGGAATCGGTCTTTCTTTTTATTTTTAGCTAAGTAAATTTTGACAGGAATCAATCTCTTAATGAACCACTAACAGATCCATCATTGGAAGAACGTTATAATTATACAGAGAATCCACCTCAATTAGTTAGCTGCACTTGCATCATGTGATCAAGAATTGATTAGCATGATTAACTGGGGCTTAATGTTTTATGCATCATTAGGTAATAAAATTGAAAGATTTTTCTTCACCTACTGGGTGGCCTTTGTGTGTGTGTATGGGTTGGATCTCAGCATTATGCAGAACTACATCACTTTAGCAACGGTGTAAAGACTTGGGCAATTTAACTATCCACAAGTTTCATAGAGAACGCTAACGTTAAACAGAGTGATGTTAGCAATATATTCTTAACTAGATTAATGAGCCTACCTAGTCACCTTATACAAGAATACATCAATGATGTAGAGAACAAGAATTTGCAATTATTCTGTTCTTATTTTTATTTTTATTATTTATTTAGAATGAGGCTTTAATTAGGAATATTTTAAATTTATTTGCTGCCTAAATCATGTCAATTTTCCTACTTCTATTAGACATATGTTTTTTTCTTTCTGCTAACAATATTAGTACTAGAGATTTGTTTCCATTTTACAAATCTTAGGGTTTTTTTGTTTCCTATAAATTGTCTTATGTAGAATGAGTTCAAAAAAAAATGCATTCAATAGTATCATACTTTGAGAGTTTTTCCTTTATTTTTCTTTGTGGATTTAGAGTTCTTGTTCTTTAGACTTAGAAATGACGATTTCTTTGTGTCTTTTGTTTACCGCTGCATCAATTGGTATAGGAGTCATGACTAACCTAATATGATTTATAATCAACGAAATGGTGACAACCTTTTCCATGACAGTGATCATGGGAGAAGAACTTTTTCGAGAGCCAAATTTTTGAACATTCAACAAAGATGACAAAAATTTTGCATGAACTGTAGACAATGGTTGCCTAGAGGATGTCGGGTCCAAACTAGGATCCCAATCAAAATAGGGTGCGTAATGGCGATAGAACTGGTGTTCAACCTATTCAAGATTGTAATCATGTCTTTCCTTGGAGACATAATCTTCACGGTATGCCTAATTGAGTACCATGTATTACATATTACAATGATCTTGAAAAACATAATGTGTATCAATATATGAGGCAACAAAGGGAGTTTAGATCAAAACAATCAATTTGAGGTAATACTGAGTCACAATCTTGTTCATTATGTAATTATTATTCTATGCATCACGTTTCATATCAGAATTCTAGGAATATAGATTTTTCAAACACTTGAAAGGATTAGGAAAGTGAGGATAAAAAGACTAAATTAAAAGATAAAAGTCGTCAAAAAATGATGACAGTTTTCATATCAATTTTGTTCACTATCATTATAATTCAAAAAATTTGATATGCGTGCAAAGTAAATTTATCAATGTATACCCACATGCTGAGAAGGTTGAAGACAAATATAATGAAGTGATCCAAATTGATTTGGTTGTTGGGAAACAGTTCAAAATCAAAAATACTATGAAATCTTAAATAACATTTTGTACGATACTTAATTTCCAGGAGTAGAAGCAAACAAAGACATTATTCCCAACTGTGTAGTGCTTGAAAAGATTAATATCAAGTATAAGATAGATGCAAATAAACACAAACTTGTAGAATTATTTCTGAGTAATAGTAACTCAAGGATATATTATTTTTTTAAGAGGGAGGAGGGCCTAATGTAAAACAAAAATTAGTAATTATTCTGTTTTTATATTTATTTTTTTTATATTTGTCATTTATTTAGAATGGGAGTTTAATTTGGAATATTCTAGAGTTATTTGTCAACTAAATTATGTTAATTTTCTAAATTCTACTAGACACGTGTGTTTTTTTTCTTCTGGTAATAATATCACAGTGAATTTGTTTCTATTTTAGAAAGCTTAGGATTTTTTTTTCTTATAAATTGTAATATGTACTATGAGTTCAAAAAAATTAATTTAATAATATCACACCTTAAGAGTTTTCTCTTCCTTTCCTTTGTGGATTTAGAGTTATTCTTGTTCTTTAGGAACGTTTATTTCTTTGTGTCATTCATTTACCGCAACATCAATCAATATATTATATTCATTGCCTTCCAATGTAGAGTGGAAAAAACGTAATTAGCACAATCTGAGATCTTTTGAAGTTTCATGCACAACCAGAAATGTACATGTAGAAGCATAATACTAGAAGAAGATTTTTTTTTTTTTTTTTACAATATGAAAATTGTACATTTTTCTTCCCTTTTTCCTGTGCAGCGCCATTTCCGAAACAGATATCACTGAAACAAGAGTAATGATAGACCCATACTATGTTAATTAATTACAATAAACAAAGTACGAGAATATTTTCCGGGGCAAAAAAAAAGGTACGAACAAAGACATGCGGCCAAGGCGCAAGGCTCTAGGATCTTTGGTCAGACGTCCAAGAATCCCTCTTTCCGACCGGGTTAGTCAAGTTCAATACCCAAAATCAAACAATAAATCCCAAATTTAGGATCCCAAATAAGATCTTAAATAAATACGGATTTTTTGATGATTGGGTCTCATTAAAAAAATTAATGAATTCATTGATCCAATTTTGTTTTACTAATTTAGTATGTAATTTGCAATCTGTAACATTGTTCGATCGCTAGAAAAAAAAAATAATTTTCATATATTAATTAAAATCATCAATAGCATGTGATCATTATGAAGTATAGCATGAGATTTTTTTTTGTTCAGAAGTACAGCATGAGATCAAGCTTATTCATTGTAATATAGTTTGTCTCCCAAAAAGAAGGAGGGGAGAGAGAGACAGAGATCAGACACACACAGTGATTGAGAACATGCTGACCAAGTTTAGCAAGTAACAAAAATAGCAATAAAAGTCAATCAAATGATACAATGAACATACAAATATAAGGTAGTTTCTCTCCCAGGAAGCAGGTGGGAGAGAGAGATCACACACACACAGAGGGGAAGAGAGAGAATGTCTACTTGTAGACCAAAAAAAACCAAGACCAGCAGAAGTTACAGTCAACAAGCTAAAGCTGCATAAGATTTTCTGTGTCATGCAGATAAAGATTGGAAAAAAAAAACTGAAAATAGTCTTACAAACACGAAAATTAATTCACCAACATTCAAAATCTATCACCAGGAAATAAAAGAAAGTGTGTGGTGAAGAGTAAAAAATAAGAAAATTAGGGTCAAGGTGCAACACCTCGAATCAGTCGAGTACTCAAACAGCTTCCCTTTAGTTGAAAACACAATCAAAGCCACTTCTGCATCGCACAACACCGAGATCTCATGAGCCTTCTTCAACAATCCAGACCTCCTCTTCGAGAAAGTCACCTGTCGGCTAATCTTGTTCTCGATCCGCCTCAACTGAACCCTACCTCTTCCCATTTTTTTCTCTCTCTCTCTCTTTGTTCTTGGTTCTTAAAAAAAAAAAACCTATATATAATGAGCAAGAACACAACAGGAAAGCTCAAGAAACCCTAAATTTGCTCTTTTCTGAAAAAAAGTGGAGGAGGGTTTGTTCTGGGTTTTGTGGATTTTACTTGTAAGGGGCTTTTTGTTCAAGACTGAAAAGCAATGGTTCTCTGTGAGTGAATATGTATGTATAGATAGGTGAATATAGGATTATCTATATGTAGGAGAGACTTGTAAACCATTCAAGGAGACTGATAAGAAACCCTGACCGGTAATGAAAAACCAGAGTGGTTTTGTCTCGTGGGTTGTCGATCTGCCATTGGTCGAGGTACTGTTGAGTCGTTAGGGTATCATTTTTGGGCCAGGTTTTTAGCACTTCGTACATGTCTATGAAAGCTTTGAGGTGCCTACGATCTAAGCGGACTAAGCTTTAGATTGTTCTGGTGACGGCGCGTCTAATTCTTTTACGTGTATACAGCTTTATTATTGACCAGTTTGGGCTTTTCCGTGAAAAAAAAAAGTAAATTACAAGCACAGTAATTGAAAGGTATCCTTTTGTTGTAGATTTGCTTCATATCCCTTCCACATTGCACTCACATTGTTTAATTAGATTGAAAATTTCCTTGGTTGACTGAAATTCTTGCATTATGTTTTGTTTTGACAATGTTGAATATTTTGAATTTTTTTTATAAGGATTGGTTATTCTTAATATAATTTATTAATGCGACACAAAATTAGGAGTGTATTTAGTATTAAAGGGTTTAAATCATATTAATCAAGTTGACAACCAAACTGGTCAACCCATAGAAGATATGAACACGACATAACACAAGCTCGAATATACATGACTAAAAATAAATTGAGTATAAGTTGATAAATTTTTGACATGAAAAATGTATTAAAAACAATAAGGGATGACTTATTGACATCTCTAGTTTTTATGCATAACATACATAAGGTAAAGGTAGGTAATCAATAGACATTACCTTACACGATAAGCCCTATGCATCCCTCTTGGGAAAAATTCCAATGGGTAGGTAGCACCCATAATTCTTCGACTTTTGATTCAAGAGTTCTACAAAAACATGATTCCTCAGCTGGGTTTGATGCCAATAATATAATTTAAATACTTGAAGCAATATATTGTTTGGTTGGGTATATTTCGATTGATATGTTTCGTATTTCTGGTGAATAACTATTTCATTAGAGAAAAAAAAAGGATGGTTGATCTTCTACTTCTCTCTCTAGAAAAGTTACCACCTCTTGCCCCTCTCTTTTCTTTTGGACACATTTGTAATTTGGTATACAAATGGTATATATCCTTTCATTTAATATAAATGAATCTTACTTGTCGAAAAAAAAAAACAGAAGTAATTTATTAGGGAATACTTGTTGCTTTTAATATAAATATAATTAATTATGTGGCACTTTATTTGTATGATAAGATTTTATATCAATTTGTCTTTTCATCTTATAAATATCACGAGAGTGGTCCCGCCAGGACGAGTACTCAAGATTAAGTTATTTCATATAGTAATCTTTTTTTTAAGACACATGTATGAAAGTCACTTTTTTTTTTTTAAGCCAAGTTTGTAGTGATACTTCTAGCGCTACAAAAATATACACATATGGGGACCACGATCTGTAACGATGCCCGATGAATTATAAAAAACACACACAGTACAGTAACAATTCGCCTAAAAAGGATTAACTATTTCCACATGCAAAGCTTTAAGCTGGGGACCATATTAAACCAATCAAAAAAGTGATTGAAAATGCTAAAAATGGATGAATAAATGAATAAAAAATGTTCGAAAAAGGGGAATAATGCATGTAGGAGGTCTAGTCTTTTAGATTTGTCGTTAGTGGTGGATTGGGCAATATTAGGATTCTTGAAGAGAAGCATTCCGTAAAACACGCAAAATATTCAAATTCTAAATTTCACCTCACCCTATCTTCAACAAGGGATGACATAACAACTCTTCAAAACTATTATAGCATGACCACTTTGATCCGACCACCTTAGGGGATGTGAGTAGGCCTGTTGTCGTGTTAGGTGAGGCGAGTTTATGTTGAATTTTAGTGGATTTGTGTTAAAAAATATTTCACTTATACTCGATTCGTTTATTAATTTGTGTTTAACGAATAATGTCATATTAGGTTCGTGCCGTGTATGCACCGTACATAACTAGTATATAAACGAGTCGTGTTGTATATTTCTTCTGATTGACTTCACATATACACTCGTTTACTAACCGGTGATTTAAAAAATACTCAAACTCTTTAATTTTGTATTATGTTAACAAATTTTGTCATATTTTAACCCTCTAAATGTGAGGTAATGTAATAAAATGATTTTTTTTATCCAATTTTAGTTTCGCAACAAATAGTAGGGCCACAGGACTTAACCCAAGTTTAAATACTCGAAAAAATAAGGAATATTTTTTACCAAGGAAAATTTTTATCAGATATAGTCAAACTTTTGTGGGCACTGTTTTATCAGTAATGTAACGCTTACTGAGTTTTTTTATTAAATTTTTCATTCCAAGTAACGTGGTATGATCTCTATCGTTGAATATTAATGGGATCCACTTATTTAATGATGAAAAAATTATTAAATAATCTTGACAAACTGCTCTTTCGTGATCTTGATCAGTGCAACATTATTATTGTTTTACTACTTAACAACAAATTCTTCGTGCATTTTTACCTAGAAGTTTCTCAATATGTACGCCTCAACACACATATACATACACTCTCAAGCTATAGATACAACTTTGCCCGAGTTCAATAATCTTCTTTTAGAAAAAAAAAAATTATTTTGACTAGTTGTTTTTTCAACAAAAGAGAAATTTTTTTATATGATTTTTCAGTTTTTATTCCTTTTTTTTTTTTTGGTTATTAATGAGGTTTTTATTACCAGAAAAGGTGGGAAGAAAAAATTGATGTCAAATTATTTCAGTAGTCCCATAAGCAAAAGGAACAAAGACTAGATTGGATATCACTCAACATGAGCAACTCACCGTCCGAGCCGGTGGTCTAGTGATAAACCATACTCGTTTAAAGTCATTCTTAACTCTCATATTGTTAATAAATAGGGTTTTATTCACGAGACTAAACGGTTTACTGTTTGGCTTTGGTGATGCTATAGTAATGGACTATCTTTCTGAATTAGTAATTATGACTTAAACAGAACATTCCACAATAAAAAATTCTCATGATCACATCTAAAGAGATTACTATCTACTAATCGACCATCTTCTTTTCTTTCTGACCAAAAAAAAACACTCGGCTTCACGTGGGTAGTGGGCTGTAGGCCCTAACCAAACTATCCAAGTTGCATAAAAGACGCAGAGGTCTCTTTTCTTTTTTCTTTTCTGCCATGTGTGGTATGTTGATTATGTTCGTGTCATACTTGTATTATGTGAAGGACTACTCAATTTATTCCTGATCAATTTTTTAGTTATTTATACTTTGAATTATTATTATGTCGTGCATATTTAATCTGAGTTTTCTTTAGTGATATTTATTTTATATAGACATATATACGTACTAAAATAAGTCTGAGCCATCTATACATTCCAAACACAATATACTAAAAAAGAAATACACCTCAATAAATTGGGATCGATTATATGAAGGTCTAAGTCGCGCATGAACAAGAACTTTAAGGGTAGTTTTGCCGTCGGTACATATTATAAAGTTTAATTTGATGCGAAAACAATAGAAATAGAGCATCAAAATGCGAATGCTGGCCTAAAAATAGCATCAATTTGTCTTTAGTTTATGAAGTGTACAAGTCTGACGTGTACTGTTTACATTATTTTTGGGTTGACAATAATGCAGAACAACTCAGAGCCTAGTATTTGTTTTCCCTAAAAATGGTGTCCTTTCAATTTCATGATGTGGGTGGGGGTGTGGCTTCCTCGTGAGTCGTGTCTTTCGCTTTACGGATTTCACTATCTAATCGAAAAAAAAAAAATTGTGGGTATCGTACCTCTATTTGGTATTGTATTTTTAACTTTTATTATTTTAATGAATATTTTTATAATTATTTGGGTTATTTTACAACCAAAACAAAATTTATTAGTTGTGTCGATGACTTATCACTTTTATGAATATTTTTATCATTGTTGTTATAATAATTTTTTATTACTTTTGTAATATTTGTGATCGATCTTAAAATTGATACCACAAAAATAATAAAAATAATTACCACTATAATTATAAAAAGCAAAAACATCTACAACAATAATAAAAGATGGCACGGTATCCAATTTTTTTTTTTTGCGATACCGTAAACTTGTCATTGTTTTAATAAGTACTATACTTTTAGATTTGTATAATTTATTATTCACGCAATAGTTTGATACGAAGAAAATAAATAGATAGCGTTAAAAGAGAATATACAAATAGTTTTGATGTGGATAGTTTATCTTTAACTGAATCAGGGAGAATTAATTGGAATACGCATAAATTAATTCGAACACATCTGACTGCAATATCGAAATACAATATATGTCTGTTTGGGCATGCCACAATTAAAAAAAAAACGCAATTATAACTTACTTATGGACTGCCAAAGGTTGATGATTTTTTAATTCTCTTGCATAATTTGTTATCACAAAAGTTTGATCCTTTAAAATTGTAAAAAATAATGACAATGCCATCACCTAATTTAAACATTTATTCTAAAAAGTTAATGTACCTTTTTTTTTTTATAAACACAAATCATCAAACATGTACACAGTAATATTAGACAAGTACACTAATCTTCTCCATAAACATAAATCGTCAGACATAATGACTTAAATCGTGGAAGGAAACTTAGTTGAGGATAAGTTTATGTTTAAACTTATATGTAGGTACTTAAGTTCACTTGTTTTTTAAATCTCAAAATTACCTCTAACGGTGTTAGTTTTGTTCAATTATGAAAAGTCACATAAGTTAGATCATTAAGGTATATATAAAAA